CCCTCCAGTAAAGAACTGCAAATAGTCAAATGCAGTAAAGATAAGATATAGATGAGATATAGGTGACCGCCTGAACCTCTCTAGATTTCCCACAGTGATTGAAAGGATTGGAGATTTTTACCCCAGAAATTATTTGAGTTCAGTTTTATTGTTTAACCCATGATGTTGGCACCTATCCTGCTAAATCTGAAGAGGCTGACTGTTAGGGAATGAATGTACTTCTGCATGCATTTTCTGGAAGGAGAAAATGAAAACAGAAATGGAATGGAGAAAGTGAAAAGGTAAAGATAATTATAAGAAAATAGAACATGTGCTTCCATTTTTGAAGGTAAAATTTTTGCCAAGGTGATCTAGGAGTTTAGATCTCCTTTCCCAAAGGAATATTATGCCTTTAATGCTGTCAACCACATTTAAAATAGGTTTTGAAAGTATTTGAAAGTATTGTTAAAATATTTTTGACCTTGGGATCTTAAGTCATTTAGGAGCTTTCAAATGTACCTGTTACGTTTCTTTCCAAAATATCAACAAAATCTGAAATGAAAGTCAAAGTTTGCTTTTTAAAAAATAGAAGTGAATTGTTTAGTTATTAAAGATAGTTTTAGAAGTGCAGCAAATAATAGTTCCAAATTTTATGTAACAAAAAAGCAGATGTTACTCCACTGTTGTATTTGTAACTTTTTTTTCAGCTCATTGAGGAAGATCATTCTAAGTGTTACTCTCACTTGGAAGTTTTACAAATTGCACTTCATGTTTAGCTTCTTTTGGTATGGGATTTTTTGTGAGATGTCATATGAGTGCTGGAAAGATGAGAAGACTTTTGTTATGGTATTCACATGCTATGGTGGTTTATAAAGAGGCAGGCGCAAGTATAGGCCATCACTGTGAAAACACATTTATAAATTATGAGACACCTAATCACAGGAAACCATTACATCCATTAGTAACAAGGAAGATAAAGGAGCTTAATATAAGGGAGCAAATGCTGAAGACAAAAAGGGAAACAAATTAGGGACTTAGTCCTATACGTCATATTAAATTTAAACCATGTAAACTTAAGCAATGGAGCTGTAATTCATCTTAGATTCCTGGTGTCTGGAGAAACAACACAGGTGTCTCAGTTGCTTGCATCTGAAACACATGGTCAAATTATAGATTAATAACTGATATCTATATTTATTTTCTGTTTGTTTCTCCAACCATTTCCATCAATAAAAATTCATTAAAATACTCTCAGAATATTTTAAGTATTGGGTTGTTCATGAGTGTTAGCACAATGGTGGTAACCAAGATGTTAATATTTATCCCATGGTAGAATGTACCTGTTGTTATAAGTTTTAAATTTTGTTCTTTTAGACTGGAGCAGGACCCCATGTTGATAGGTGTTATAAAATGAGAGGTTACTACATATATGTATTTTTTTAATCTAATTCTGGCAGTTTGATCTATTTTCTTCTATTAAGATAAATTCTATTTTCTGGTTGTACTCTACCAGGCAGAGAGGTGAAATATAGCTTATATTTTTAGATCTGTGGATAGAAGTACGATTTGATCCATGCTTATGTTCTTGTAAGACCAAGACTTTTGTTTACTTATTGATATCATTATAATTACTGTCAATTAACAACTCTTCTGAAAGGATAGGACATGTGATTCATATTGAATATGAAGTCATCAAATTGACATTAAGATTAAACTGGTGAATTAAAAGCTCAGTGTCACTCTAGGATGTGGTATTGTTGCCTCCTTCCATCACAGAAGCAGCTCAACAAGCTCAACTCAAAATGTAATCACTGTCTTTTTAAGGCATACTCCTGTTCTTCATATCATAGCACTTACTCAGTGCAGCTCATTCTGTATGTATTTTTAATTAGAATTAACAGAGAAGTGTTAGGGCAGAAGAGACATGCTTGTGGCTTTAGATCAACAATTATTTGTTTCCCAGCCGTAGAGCAGAGATGCACTACACATGTATGCAAGAAAGAGGGAAAGGAACAGTACTTAAAAGCCTGTTCTTCATCTTTCTAGCAATCCATTACTTGGTTCACATTTCCCATCTCTTTCCTATTTTTTGATTGAGGACTAGAGGATTACCCACCATGTGAATTTTAGACTTCAACCTACAGGTATGAACAAACTAGTTAAAGAGGATGTTTTGTATCATAGTTCAAGTGTTCATTCCACCTGTTTCTTCCAGTCCAGCAGAGTTTGTTTCCTTTGGTAAATCTGCCACTCTTAAGTCTTCTTTCCTGACTCTTGAAGATTATACTTTTCTGTGCCACCATCTACTAGAACTGATTTAACCAAACATATCACTCACAGAGGAAAGCGAGTGCCAGTTTGTTGCACATTACCATTTAGAAACATTTCAACTCACAGAACGGTGGTAAAAATATGATTCGATTCATTACATGTTTATTTATTCTTGTTAGCATGCTGTGAACTTCATTGTGCAGTGAACATTACAATTAAATATGTTAAACACAGAACAGCCATAAATGTTCTTACTAACTAATAATGGTAATAGTATCAATTCACTAGTATCTATTTTTGTGAAGTGGTAGTTTTATTGAAGAACAATATTCAAGATGCAAACATTTATTGTCCTTTTATAGAAAATTGTTCCAATAACTGTTTAGTGAGTGCTGGCATCACAGGGAGAAAATTGTGTACCTCAGCTGCTCTCCTGCCTGTGCCTGTAATGAAGTCTCTGTAGTAATCTAATTGTATTGACTTAGCAAAAAAATGGAATTCTAATTGACAACATAAAGCGAAGCAAATTGTCAATAAAGATATGCTGACTTAAGCTTTGTGACACTGATGTCAAAACTGATCTGGCCAAAAAGAAAAAACAGAATCTTCTGAATTATTAAATTTCACATGAATTATGTAATCAACTGATTTTATATACAGCTTAATGGTGAAGTTATTTGCATGTTCTTTCCTTTAGATTTTCAGGGGTGCAGAGGGGTCTCCAAATGTGTTGCTTAAGAAACATGATTGTGGAGGTCTGAGTATAGCTGCACCTCCGTTTCTGAAAGCAGTCGGAGGAAAAATCCATGGTTGAACCAAAAAAGGCATCAGATTAGAATCTTTAAATTGCTTGGATTTGACACTTCTTCCTGGCATAGGTAGTTGGGTCTCCCTATGTTGTGGTCAATCTGGAAGTGAGTTTTTCAAGTTGGAGACTGAAGACTGAACAAGTGAAGCTTCCCCTAAATCATCTTTCACTGTAAAGTAGTGCTGATGAGGATGTGGCCTAGCCATAGCCAATATAAAATATGGAGCATAAAATTTTTCCAAAATCTTAGTGGTCCCTAAAGCTTGACTGAGGGCCTACTTAATGTAAGTACTTTCCTACTCGGTAATCAGTACCTGAAGAGATTAATTTTAGGATTAAGTGCTTTTTAAAAAGAAGCGGTCTGTGTCTGTATCCCAAATGGGAGTACTTTTCAATAGAAGACAGGACATGAGCCAGCAATGTGCCCTTGCCACAAAGAAGGCTAATGGTATCCAGCAGGTTGAGGAAGGTGATCCTTCTTCTCTGTTCAGCAGCAGTGAGGCCACACATGGAGTCCTGTATCCAGTTCTGGGCTCCCCAGTACAAGAGAGACATGCACATACTGGCAAGAGTCCAGTGAAGGGCCATGAAAATTATTAAGGGAATCCTGTGAGGAAAGGCTTTGAGAGCTGGGACTGTTTAGCCTGAAGAAAAGGTTCAGGGGGAATCTTAACTCTGTGTACAGATACCTGAAGGGAAGGTGCAAAGAGGATGGAGCCAGACTCTTCTCAGTGGTGCCTGATGACAGGACAAGAGTCAATAAGCACAAACTGGAACATGGGAGATTCTGTCTGGACAACAGAAAACACTTTTTTACTGTGAGGGTGACCAAACGCTGGCACAGGTTGCCCGGAGAGGCTGTGGAGTCTCCATCCTTGGAGATATTGAAAAGCCATCTGGACATGGTCCTGAGCAACATGCTCTAGACGTCTCTGCTTGAGTAGGGGGTTGGACTAGATGACCTCTAGAGATACTGTCCAACCTCAAACATTCTGTGATTCTGTGACATAAGCTAGTGCGGGTCTCAGAAGGACCACACTCTCCAAATGCTTTTGAGTTATTGTAATAGCTTACTAGTGATTGATCCCAATTATACTAAACAGAAAAAAAAAAATATCTGACAAACGTGAAATTGTCCATCAGGACAATAAGGATTTACACAGTAACTCAGAGTGATGTGGCTTTTGTCATATCTGGTTAACAATTTGTGGCCCAATGACCTTGTATACCAGGGTCGGTTGCTGACATGCTTTTGGCTGCCTTTAGAAAGGCTTGAATGTCTAATAGCGTAAGAAGACTTTGCAGGTGTGAGGTGTAGCCCAGATAAAGATGTTTTCAGAGGAAGCTGCTCTCTCCCTCCAATATTTAATTCTCTAAGAATGCAGCTCTACTACCTTGTCAGTCTATTCAAAGTAGTATGATCCTCACTAACTCAAGATGACACCACCTTTTTCTGTTATTTTTGGAAATCAGTTGTAGACTACCAAACCCTTGCAGAAGAGAAGAAACAATTTACCTGCTTCAACACATGCAGGAAATGACAGCAAGAGCTTTGTGTACTCTGTTTGGCATTTTAAAAACTTTCCAAGAAAATCCATCCTTTTACTCAGAATGCCTTTTCAAGAGATACAAGCCACTTGCTTGCCATCTTCGTATTTATTGTTGTAATGAACTTACTGATTTCATCCCAACTCTTGATTTTAGAATCAAGGTTGGGATGTAACATACTAAGTAATCGTGTATTTGCTGCATAAGAAATGTTATGGTACTTATGGCACTTCCTGCTCTGTGTGATAGATCTTTCACTACGTATGGTAAACTTCCAGCTAAAGTCTGTAAAGAAAACAGTAAAATAATATTTCAACTGTAAGCTTAATTAATGCCACATACTGTGTAGCGTGGAAGCAAAATGAATGACCTGCTGTAGTGTCAAATAAAAGAGAGCTGCCCACAGCATGAGCTACTGGCCTGAGGCCATGTTACTGTCAGGGTGAGTGGAGAGAGACAGCTGGTTCTGGTAAATCATCTATATGATGTCCTGAGTTATGGCTAGTTATGAGCAGATTGCTTTTTGATTTTTTTTTTTTTTCTCTAAACGCTGATGTAAAGAATTTTTCCTGCTAGCTGTAGTTTCTCTTCTCTTTCTTCATCACCACAGCTCATCTGATTGTTAATACATTCCTTGTCAACCCAAATATATGTATTATAATATTATAAAATAATATATATTTCTATATTTTAAAATTCCCTTGTTTTTCATTCTGTCAATGAGTTAAGAAAATAATGCACAGAGAATCAATCGGTAATGAAAAATGTCTAGAAGTAGCGTCATGTTCCAGGCTACAATTACAATACCCAAAGTAACAAAAATCATATTGTTTTTTGGCTTATCTGTTGTTTCATGATATGAGTAGTAAACAGTTTTAGATTTGTATCTATCAAATTAGATGTTGATTTCTTAGGTTTTTTGAATGTAGCTAAGTATTTGCTGTGATAATATCTTGTCAGACTTGAAAATTGCTTGTAGCTATAAATAAACCTTTTCAATTTATAATATAGCAATTATCAAATCGTTCCCAGAGGTACTTTTCTACCACCATTAAGGCTAATTTTTACTTAAGTATTGGTTGGTAATTCCTGTTAATAAGAAATACCACAAAAATTTTTCAAAAGAATAGTCATGGAAAGAAGTAATGTTTTTAGATTTGTTTCATATATAAATATAGCAAACAAAATAATTGTGTTGAAGTTCTAAATGTTGTATGTTCTAAAAAATATTAGAAGGCCTTAAAAAAAAAAAAAAGAAAAAGAAGAAAAGTTTTTCTGTCTCCCCAAGGTATGGATCAATGTCTGATGGCATGCATCTCCATTTCATTAGGGGTTTGTTCAAATGGATAAATTTCAGTGAATTGACATGCTTGCAATAAGAGCACTCTTCACTGAAAATTTCAAACCTCTTTTGATCATTGTATTGATGTGTCAAACATACTCAGTTTGGTTTTTCTGTTCTATACCCTTGGGAATGCAGGCAGGCTTTATTAAATACTTTTAAAAAAAAATCTGTTCCTGAATAATATTTTTCTCAAAGGTAGGAGTATGAAAGCTTGGTTAATAGCAAGGACTGTCAAGTGAAATATATTAACTGAAGCTAGCAGAAAATCTGGGTAAGATTAGAGTGCGCTGTGGGTCTCTAAGCAATCTGAGTTACAGCATTTGCTGCAGGGATTGTGGAACTCCTGAGACCTTCAACTTGAGCTTCTAAGAAAGCTAAAAAGAAATTGGGAGAGAACATGAACTAGAAAAACTAACTTTTGACTAGCTCTCATTGTAGTGCCCCCAAACTTGTATTGCCTCTAAAACAGAAAAAAACCCTGAAAGCAATGCCAAATGTAAGGAAGTGGAATGAGACATAAGTGATTCAGTTCTTAGTTTTTCACTAGTTTGCTCGCTGTCTGTGGAGAAGTTTCTTCTCTCCCTCCCCAAGCTTCCATTCCAACAATGATGTTGACACAGATCTTGTTTGCTGTAAAGAGCTTTGCTTGCTTGAGACATAGATTTGGGGTAGGAAAAACACTGGAGTCCCAGCCTTAATTATGATATAAGAATGCTTGGTTTAGATCTGAAGAAAATTGTAGATATCCTGGCAAATCATTTACGAAATTTCTTTCTTCCCTCCTACCTTCCCCCAACCCCACTGAGATACCATTTATTTTATTAGACTGCCTGATTTTCAAACATGTAAAAGCCATACCAATCTGTGTAAAAGCCCTCTGATAACTTCTGCTGTTTCTGTTAAGTATAATCATGCTCTTCTTAGTTATCCTTGTTTCTTAAAGCATTTTGTGCTTTGATCAAAGGTAGTGCACCCAGTTTAGCCTTCCATCTGTTTTAGCAGCTGGATGCACATGCAGAGAGGTGATCTTCCTAAGAGCTCCTCAGTGTGTCATGGAGAAGCTACTGCGTTAATCTTGTTTTTTATGCAGCCAACCACACTTTGAGAAGAATTTTTGAATTGCCTTACTGGTGTGGTATTACTATATGGCACCACACCCCTACCATTTAAGATTATTATATCTAAATGTAACTTTTACCACTTTTTTTTTTTTTTTTTTTTTGTGCAAAATGGTAAAACTCCTACCTTTTAACACATCTACCTGTATTCTTGGGTGACTTTTTAAAAAACGTAGGATAGATTTAGAGTATATGTAGAGCTGATCCAGAACTAAAAATCCTATTTTGTCTTCAAAATACACAAAATAATATAATTTTCTTTTCAGAAAATCAGTAAGTTGGAAGTCAAATTGCATGCCCAGGTGTTAACAGCAAGTATTGGGTTGTTTCTCCTGTGTGACTAAAAGTTTGTAATTAAGAAAAATAACCCTTTAATTCCTTAATTTTGGATCTGATTCTTCTTTTGTGGCACTTAGAAAAGAGCTATTAGCCATTAAGATGAATTTATATTTGTCCAGAGAATTATTTGCAAGGTATAATCATGTTCTAAACAGTTTTTGTTGACACTTGTTTAAGTAGATTGTTACCCCAACTTCAGAAATTATACCAACAATCTCACCCTCTAGATTTAGTTCATCTGCTCATTGTCTTCTCTTCCATTTTTTTCTGCTTTGAAAATCTACCTCTAAGAGATTTTCCCAAAGAATAAAATAAACTTTGAAAATGTAAAATGTCTCTGCTCCATACTTTAATTACTTTTATGAGTCAGAGATATCTGTTCCAATAGTACATTGTGGCCCTAAAATATCAATAGTTTAAACAACATTGGCTTGATTGTTATCTAGTTTTCATGCTGTGTGCTTACTCAGATTCACCTGTGCCTAGTGCATATGCACAATCACATTTTTTATGGTAGTGAAAAATATCAAATAGTGATAGTTTCCATTATCATGTTTATGATACTTGTTCAATGCAGTGTAAGAACTGATTTAATTTCTTCATAGTTACTGAATAATGTATCCCATATTACTTTGTATTTGAATTAGAAATCTCATTAATTATCAGAGCACAGGAGTTATTTTTAATTTCTTTAGCATGTGGCTCTGGGTTGCTTATGACTCTGTGTATATATACATGTGCACACCACAGAATGTACACGTTTAAGATGCTAACATTGAAACACTTCAAATATTTAATGGAGCACTTCTGTAATTTCATTATTTTTTGTTTGAGACCCTCAAGCATCCTTATGTCAGAAACCCAAGTAAAGTTTCAAACCATAAGTTTTGTCTCATTTTGAAACATTTTGTCTCAACATTTTGAAATGTTGTCACCAATCGTTTCATATTTACAGGACCTGAGTAATGGAATAGCATTAAGCTTATACTGCAGTCAGATTTTTTTAAATGTCTATTTAATAATAATTCCTCATCAATAAGATCTGTCAGTCACCTAGTTTAGAATGTATATTTTTATAATGTATTTTGAAAATCCAACAGGATGAAATAGCAACTCAGTCATCAAAAGTGTGTGTGTATATTTGTATACGTTTCTATGATCTACATATATACAGATTTATTCATAAATACCCGTGTGTATGGATTTTTATATATAAAGTATATGTACACTTTATCAATCAGAACCCTTGGCAAAAACTTGTCAGATTTTTCTAGGTGTGACCAATTTTTGAAAGATGTTCTGTCATATTGCATGGTTTAGTAAGGCTCATTCCAAGTCACTTCTAAAAAATATTTTAATAACTTGTTTGTCTAGTGTTCTGGAATTTCTTTGCCTTTTCATGGTTTACAGAAACACAGAGCTCACAGCTGTTCCTCCTCAGCTAAAAATACTTACCTGAAGCAGATATGGTCTAGTATCTTTTCAGTTACTGGTGATAAAAACATGAATGGAGACATTTATCAAACAATTATGTATTTTTTATCTTAATACTTCTAACATCTCCAGGTACTAATTACCAGACTGACAAGGATTTGTTTCGGTTTTCAATAGTTTAAAAATCAGCTGATGATTTTTTACACAAGTGTACAAATCAGTAGTGAGAGTGCTGCGAATAACTGTAACTGGCCAGATAAATAACCATAACAAATAAAGCCAAAATCACAAGAATATTTTAATATTCTTTGGGCCTGTTTGTTATGTATAAATGTGCAGTTCTTAGAAAATTGAGGCCTTGCTCCTTATGGGTGGTTAGGGAGAATTTAGTCTGACCAACTTGCTTGAGGTCTGAAGGCAGCTGGTGGTGTGTGGTTTTTTATCGAGCAGTTTCAGAATTAAAATGTTTATTTTGTTTTTTGATTGGAAAAATATTCAACAGACTTAAAAAAAAAATTACTTGTAGATAATTGTAGTGGGTCAACCTTGGCTAGCCACCAGATGCCCACCAAGCCACTCTATCACTCCCCCTCCTCAGCAGGACAGGGGGACAGAAAATATGACAAAAGGCTCATGGGTTGAGATAAGGATAGGGAGATCACTCAGCGCTTACCATCACAGACAAAAAAGACTCAACTTGGGGAAATAAATTTAACTTCTTGCCAATTAATAAAAGAATATCATATCATTGAATCGTAGAATGCCAGGATGGAAGGGACTTCAAAGATCATCTGGTCCAACCTTTCTTGGGAAAAGCACAGTCTAGACAAGATGGCCCAGCACCCTGACCAGCTGAATCTTACAAGAGTCCAATGATGGGGAATCCATCATTTCCCTGGGGAGATTATTCCAATAGCTGATCTTCCTCATTGTGAAAAATTTTCCTCTTGTGTCCTATCAGAATCTCCCCAGGAGTAACTTGTGCCCATTACCCTTTGTCCTTTCTGTGTGACTCCTTGTATCTTCTTTGCAGCCACCCTTTAAATACTGGAACATGGTGATAAGGTCTCCCCTAAGCCTTCTTTTCTTAAGGCTGGACAAACCCAGTTCTGTCAGCCTTTTATTTACTGTTGTGGTTTAACTAAGCCCCATGTAGCCGCTTACTTGCTCCCTCCTGGTGGGATGGGGGAAGGAATCAGAAGGGTAAAAGTGAGAAAATTCATGGGTTGACATAAAGACAGTTCAGTAGGTAAAACAAAAGCTGCGCATGCAAGCAAAGTAAAACAAGGAATTCATTCACCGCTTCCCATGGGCAGGCAAGTGTTCAGCCATCTCACAGTAGACAGTTCTTCATGAACTTCTCCAGTGTGGGTCCTTCCCACGGGCTGAAGTTCTTCATAAACTACTCCAGCATGGGTCCTTTCCCTGGGGTACGGTCCTTCAGGAGCAGACTGCTCCAGCATGGCAGGGTCACAGTCCTGCCAAAAAAACTGGTCCTCTGGTGTGGGCTTCTCTCTACGGGTTGACATGTCCTGCCAGGAGCTTACTCAAGCATGGGCTTTCCATAGGGTCACAGGCTCCAGCACAGACACCTTTTCCAGTGTAGGGTCCTCCCTGGGCCGCAGGTGGATATCTGCTCCACCATGGACCAACATGGTCTGCAGGGAGACAACGTGCATCACCAAGCCTCACTCAACTGGACAGTATACACCAAGGGAACTGACTGATGCCTGGCTATGGTGATGGAATAAAATATTGTATTTAATGATTGTGTTGCAAAGGGCATATTTCATGGGCCCACATTCATAGTCTTAGGAGCAGTGCTACCTTCTGGCTTTCTCACAATCTGGAATTTGACTCTTCAAGTATTTTTAATGGTAATAATTGTCTTGTAAATAATATATAAAGCAAGGTCACAAGACAATGGAAATGGTGTAAAAAATACTAATTACTTTAAATCTCAAAGTGTAAGCATGCATTGCATTTTTGTTACAATGGCTGGTTAAATTATAAGGAGGAAGATGATTAACCCTTCTGTGCATTCAGCTTCTGAATTCATAAGGAATTCAGACACAGCTGGGATGAATAATGCCAGGGTAACATAAGAGGATGATCTAAGTCTTGAAGCCTGGTGACACTTTGCTCTGGGAGGACTGAGAAATGTTGTTGAGGGAAGTTCTGTTTGTAAAGATTTACTACATAAATAAACTGCTAAACATTACATTTAATTGAAATTACAGGTAAAGAGAAGCAGTTCTGATTGAAAGGAATAAAAATGACAAAATGCCTATTTACTGGCTTATTTAAAACCTGCTTTATAAATTTGTTATTTCTGTTTTGACTTATTTCAGTGATACATGTATTGTTTTAATACGGATGTGTATTCTATGACTTGTGGCTGTAATTATTCACTGTGAATTAATTTATGCTGTTAATATCTCATTCACTAACAAGTGCATGGTAAAACCTCAAGAGTTTTGATCTGGATAAATATGTAACAGTACAGTTGTCTGCATAAACAATTGTGAGCTTTAAATTTTAAAAATCTTATGAAATCAACAGTTGTTTGATCCTTCAAATAGATTTTTAATCCATTTTTTATTTCTAATTGAATCAACCAACCAATTTTTGTGCATTTTTTACTTTCTTTTAGTAAAAAGAAAGACAATTTTAAAGCATAAATCTGATCATTCTATCTTGTTTATAAGTTTGTTAGGATTTTGTTTGTTTGTCTTGATTATTTCTTTGGTTTGGGTTTTGGGCTTTTTTCCCCCTCAACACAAAGCTGATTAAACCAATCTTTTTAATGGGCATGTTTCAGGAAGAACTTTTACATAAACAGAATGAGATTGCTTTAATTTCATTTTTAAGTCATGGGTAAAAGTTAATACCTTGCAGTCTAAAGGCAATGTGACAGCTGGATGTGAATATAAATATCTGTAAAAGAAAGCTGAAGATGCAAAAATGGTTTCTTATTAAATGCCATAAACTTTTTTGCTCTAATGAAGAATTAATGATAAATTCTTAAAGCAGTTTGCAGTTACTGCTTGCTTGTATGATAGAACTTAAAACTGGTTCAGGAAAACAACAGATGATAGTAGTATCCATATTTCCTAAAGGGCAAAATTAAAGCTTTGAGGGGTTTTCATGTTTCTTTTTGCATAAAATATGGTATAAACAATGGCATAATTTTGTGTAAAATGTGGTTGTAACTATAATGGCATAAATTATTAATTTAATTTTCTAAGTATAATAAAAGAGTGATAAATTCTTTTATGAAAGATGCATTTCTAGAAAGCACAGATTTTTCTTCTATTTCTCTAAAAGAATGTACTGGGTTTGGCTACAAGCTACTATGAGGCTACAAGCTACTATGAAGAAAATTACCTTCATCTCAGCAAAACCAGTACAAAAAAATGTTCCGCGACTTTTTTCTCCAAAACTAAATTTTCTTGAATGACCTTGTAAAGGACAATAAAATATTCTTCAGAAATAGAATGTAAGATACATATTAGGATTATATTAATATTTTTAAAGTTGCTGATAAATTTGAAATGTAAATCCAATTTGAAATATCAAGGCAATATTCAACTTTAAATTAATGAAAACCACCGATTTCTTACTAAATGCCTATTAAAAATAACATTGATGTGTTTTATGCTGAATGAATGCATCCCTTCTGTGCCCATAGAAACTGTTTTTTTATCTGTTTTCAGATAATCTTCATGTAATAAAATCTGTGAAAAAAACCCTCTCATTTTTTTACTTATACTTACATCTTTCTTTTCCAGATGACACGAGAGCAGTATATATTAGCAACACAACAGAACAGCCTTCCAAGGACTGAACATCCTCAGTTTTACCCAGTAGGGATTTATGGATGGCGAAAGAGGTGCTTATACTTCTTTGTCCTTCTGCTGTTGGTTACCATGATTGTTAACTTAGCAATGACAATATGGATTTTGAAGGTTATGAATTTCACAGTGGTAAGTATCACAGTAACTTTATGTACCTTGTTTCTTGAAGTAATAACTTGTAGTTTTATTTCTCTTTTCTTTACCATCTTATAAACAAATAATGTAATTTTGGATAAAAATCATAAATTGTATATCCTTCTTTGAGTGTTACTTCAGATATTTAGACCTTTTGTGTCTATTCTGCAGTGAGTGGATCTGTGCCTTATCTATTCAGATATTTTTGGTTAATAATATCTGTTGAAAATATATCTGGATCTTAGAATTTGTTTGCTAACCAAAAGTGTCATGGTGACTGCCCCAAGAATCTTTTGGCTGCTTGTCACCACTAATAGCAATCAGTAGGAATTCACTATGTCTGTTCTCTATGGTATGTCTCTTAGGAGGAATCTGGGTTAGTTAGGTCAGCTTAGGGTAGCTTTTTTAGGTTGTGGTGTTCTTAGTATTTTTTTTTTAGAGGTTGCCAACTATTTGGACTGTGTTTCAGCTACAACTTAGAGTAGCTGTTTTGATGTTGACAAGAGGGGGTAGGTGGGTGTAAAAGACACTTGCTTTTATGAGACAGCCTCCATCTGGAATCTTTAATAGCAGCAAAGTGTTATCAAGGCTGTATTTCAGATGTACACCTGAAAGAACATCTGTGATCAGTGGAAACTGTTATCTGCCCAGCTGTTCCCAAAGATTTGTTTAGATAAGCATGGTAGAAGTGCTTACTAGTTGGCAGGGGAGTCATGTCTTTTTGTATATCAAAAGAAAAGAGAATACTCCACAGTTTAATATAGCAGTGCTTCTGCTAGGATCAATGTAGTCTCTCCCTCTGGATTTTGACCTTCATAAGTCATACTTCGATGTAGCTAGTAATACATTTCTGATTCCTAGGGTCATAGCACATTTCTATTCTCCATTAGTTTATTGGAAATAAAAAAACAGCCAACAAAACCAGCATTAAACATCTGTAAAATTGTTCTATATCCGCTAGTGCTCTGTAATGCACAGGGTTATCTGAGATCATTGCCTGTATTGTGCAAATACATTGCTATTTCTGAGTTGGCCCTAGTAGATGAATTTGTTTGATTCATATTTTGACAACTGTATGAATTTAATAGTCATGTACTGAAGAGTTTGTTAGAAGCTTGGGGGGGAGTTGCTTGTTTTTCGGTTGTGGTGGGTTGACCTTGGCTGGATGCCAGGTGGCACCAAGCTACTTTACCACTCTGCTCCTCAGCAATACACATGGGAAGAAAATGAGTTGGAAAAAAACCCTTGTGGGCCAAGATAAAGGCAGTTTAATAAAAAGCTAAAGCAAAGGCTGTGCCTGGAAGCAAAAGGAAAACAAAGATTTCATTCTCTGCTTTCCATTAGAAGGTGATGTCCAGTCACTTTCCGGGAAGCAGGGCTTCTGTATGCATAATGGTTGCTCTGGAAGATGATCATTGTAAAAAAACCTGAATGCCTCCTCTTCCTGCTCCTTTTTCTTAGCCTTTATTGCTGAGCCGATGCCATATGGTATGGAATATCCCTTTGGTCAGTTTGGGTCAGCTGGTCCTGTCTATGTCCCCTCCCAAGATCTTGCCCACCCCCTTCCTACTGGTGAGGGAGGAAAAGTTGGAGAGCCTTGATGCTAGGCAAGCACTGCTCAGCAGTAGCCAAACCACTGGTGTGTTATCAGCACCCTTTTAGCTGCTAAGCACAGCACTATGAGGGCTGCTATTGACAAGATTAACTCCATCTAAGCCCAATACATTGGTTTTTTGGTTGGTTGGTTGGTTTTGGTTTTTTCTTTTTTTTTTTTTTTTTTTTAGCATAACGTGCTTGCAAAACAGGACATCCCCATATGCTTTTGTTATTTGTATTAGAAGCATATTTAGGCATACCTGTTGACTTCAGTAAAATGGTCTGCTAGTATCCCAGAGGAGAATTAAGCACGGAAATTTAAACAGGTTAAGATGTTTCAAAAAGCACAGAATTTTTCTCTTTGCATTGCAATAAAATATTTGAAACTACTGCTTCCCTATCTAGGCAATGTTTGACCTTCTATGCTACAAGCTACGGCAGCATTATCCAGTTTAAAACTCTTACAATTTGAACATAAAATCTTTTTAAAACAAAACCAAAGAAGATACTTTGAAATATTTTTCTTTCCCATGTGTCAAAGCTTTTTTAGAAAGTTAAAGGTTTATGGTGAATCATTAAACCAGTGCAAGAAACAACCAGATTGTTTTAGCAGTTCTGCTTACTACTTAGTGGATTGAAGACCTTGCTTCAGTAGCTGGAGAGACATACGTATCTGAACTAATTGTCCGAACACTGGCTTAATAATTTCACGAAAATAGTGTTTGAAACATTATGCGCTTGGTTTATAAACTAGTCATTTCATTATTACAATTCAGAAATGATAAAATTTATGTGCATTTTTAATAATCCTGGATTTTTTATAAATACAAATAAATGGTATGCTACTGAATAATGTGAGTTAATCTTTAACCCTCCTGTTACAAAATTAAAATTAATTTTGTATATCCACATTTACCATAGTCATACATACCAGTAAGTGATTTGGAAAACAGAAGTGGAACATATCGCTCCTCTTTCATATGACACCCCCTCTCCCCCACACCCTGTTCATTTTGCAATATCATTTTGGAATACCCCTTAACTACCTCAGAAATGAAAATTTTTACTTAACAGTTCGCTCTGAACAACACTCAAAAATTACCATTTCCAAAGGAATTCGTACTTAAAAAGAATAACAGAAGCAGTTTATTTAATGATCATACCACCAGCAGATCATTCTTACTCAAATTTGTATGTAGTATATCCCTGTTGACATAAAATTATTAACCATTTTTCTTTTAATGGCAAAATATTTCATGCTTTTGTTTAATGAAAACTGATTTGTTTTTGTCTTTTATATAAATTTATGGAACAATCTGTGGTTAAACTTGCAGAAAACAGAATCCATAGGCATAAAACTGTGACCTGAAATTGCATTTCTTGAAGTGCACACATTTGTTTTAAAAAGAGATTGTTAAAAATATAGTAATTAAATGACATGACAACAGGTTATTTAATATTATAAAGTTACGTGTAATAGTTGTAGGCATATCATATAACTTAAAGCTGAAAGAATGAAAAAGGTCCATCAGTATTCGCTTCTGCCTTTATAAGCATGGTTACTTTGGACCGTGTTTGAATCAATTTTTTTTTAATTATACACTGAAGAATACCAGTTTTATTTAAACAGTTTATTCATGGAATGGTAATCTTCTACTTGGACTAGATAGTATTCATGTTAAGGTCTCTGTACGGGTTCAAAAATTGATTGCTAGAAGATTGCCGTATGAAAAGTTCAGTAAAATCTTCACGCTTATGTCCACACATGCATATCTGAGCACCGGTGGGAAACTTGTCTCAAGTCTGAAGGAGTCAAATTGTTAGTGACAGACGTCTGAGAGTAAAATAATTTTGCTTATGAACCTAAACTTCATGTATTTAAAGAATGCAATAGCTTTGAAATACACATATTTCTTCCATGTGCATGTATATATGTCTAGATAGATATAAACTAAGAAATTGCATATGTATACATGGGCAGTGAGAGGAAATCAGAAATGCAGCTAGAAACCTTTTGAAAAGGGAAAATACTTTTGCTAAACTGGTTTAAAGTACATTTGCACAAAAGAGAAATCTAGTCATGATAAAATAATTGTTGAAATTGAACTGCTTTGACATTTTGACATTATTTTAAATTATTTATTGTTTAGCATAAGCCATAAGTTGAACTTTTTATAAAAACAATAGTAATTGCACCATTTCAAGGGGTGGTGAGGAGCCAGGGCAGGGGTTGGTCATTGCTGGCTGACAACTGCAACAATGTTAATTTGTGTTAGCTTTTGACTTTCTATTTTTAACTGTACAGCTATAGCCACTGGCCAATTGGCAAAATAAAAGCCTTTCTGAGTTCCATTTATAGACTCTTCAGTTTTCTGAACATGCTGACCTTGCATGTAAAAGTTGCACTCTGAATCCAAGCTAGTTATCCCATGTTCTTTTTATACACAGAGAGGAGAAATAAGGTCTCCTGTAAGGCCATTCATCTCACAGTAAGACAAGCAACTGAAGTGAACTGTCCTTATGGATGGATGTTCATCAAAAAAGTAATTAAAAAGGAAATATGGTTTATTTGCAATTGTGTAAAAACATAGTGTAGGCAAGTTATGCAAGTCTCCTTTTATCAGTTTAAATAGTATAGCTGGGAAAGGTATACAATCTCTTCTTCCAGCATAGAATGTAACAAAGAAATTTGAAAGGTAAATACAAGTTAGAAATAATTGCCCTGATATAATATGTACCAGATGAGCAAAACCAAAGGTAATTAGTATCTGTGTAACAAAAGGAGTATTAGATAGAGGAATCGGAGTTGTAGTAATCATTTTTTGAAAGATATTCCTCCACTGGTAGCTTAGTGTTGCTGTCCACTCACATCTAGTTGAGATCTGTTACCTCACTGTTTGATCATCTATTTAAAAAGATATGTGTGAAAGCATATAAGAACTTCAGAACAAAGCAGTCCCTAAACATCTCCACTGATGGATGCATGTAGCTCTAACACACCGTACTATCCTGGCTTTATGTGGAAATTCATCATATAGGAGTAGGCTATATTAGAGGAAGATCTGACCTTGAACAAAATCGTCTGCCAATAACTTAGCCCTGAAATAATCCCCGGGCTATACTTGTCATTGGAATAAAACTCTTTGTTGTCTTACATGCATCAAGAGGATCTACTCTGTTGTGAGTGGTAAGGATAAAATAATTTGAAGCCTCTATGATATATTGCCCCCCAATAGAACCACCAAAATCTCTGAATCACGTGCTTAAACTTTAGACTTCATCTATTGTATTAAATGCTTTCCTGAAAAGTAAACAACTGATGTCTTCAAGAATGAACTCAGCTTTCCTCATGTCTCTAAAGACTGATCTTCAAAGGAGACATGCAAAACATCTTGGAA